CCTCGAACCAGATATGAAATGGAAGCTTTGCGAATAGGGCCAATCGCACCTCCTCCAGCAGGACCGAGGAGTTGCAGGAAGCAGGTGAGAGGTTCTGCATCCAGAGAGTAATTATGGGATCTTCTATATGCATTTGGAATGTCAGAGGTCTTGGCGATCCGATCAAGCGGGATCGAATTAAAAGACTTATTAGTCGGCACCACACTTCTATTATTGGTCTTGTTGAAACAAAATGGTCAGCATGTTCAGATGATTGTGCAAGGAGTGTCAGCAGTATAAATGACTTCGGTTGGGTTGCTAAGAATGCCGTAAGAAGTTCAGGGGGCATAGTCGCTAGCTCCAATTCCTGGCACCTTGTTATTGTCTATGGTCCGCAGGAGCGACATGAAAAGATTATTTTCCTTCAAGAGCTACATGAGTTCTGCCAGCGACACCAAGGACCAGTTTGCATCGCGGGGGACTTTAATATGGTTAGAGGTCATGATGACTATACCGGAGTGAGAAGAAGCTCAGAGCTCATGGGGGCTTTTAATGATCTCATTGATATGAATGCCCTTATTGATCTTCCCCTCGGGGGTAGCCACTACACCTGGAGTCACGGAATAGGCAGCAACTCCCAGTCCCGGATCGATCGAGTCTTTATCACCCCGCAATTCGACTCTTTATTTCCAGATTCCAACCTTGTTGCCCTTGAGAGAATCGAGTCGGATCACAACCCTCTTCTTCTTAAATGGGGTGAAGAAAGGATCATCAAGAGACCCTGGAGATTCGAAAATATGTGGTTGGAAGACGAGCGATTCTATACTAGTCTCCCCATATGGCTTCTCTCGCCGTTGCAAGGATCCGGATTCATTTTTCGTTGGTCAAAGCGGCTCCAATCCCTGAAGGAGAATATTAAATTTTGGAATAAACACACGTTTGGGAATATCCATGTCAGGATTGAAGACTTATCTAAATTAATAAAAGAGTTGGACAACATTGAGGAAACCAGGCCATTTACTGAAACTGAGAAGAGCAGCAGAATACAGCTTGAAGTTGATCTGGTTAAAGCTCTGGATATGCAAGAGATTTGCTGGAGGCAGAAATCTAAAGAACTGTGGCTCAAACTTGGCGACATGAATTCTGGATACTTTCACAAGGTAGCTAATTACAGGAAGAAGCTAAATCTTATATGCAGGATAAAAATCAATGGTCTCACTTATGAAGGCAGTGATCATCTTCATGAAGGAATTGTGAACTACTATCAAAACTTCTACAAAGAGGATCTCCGGTCTCGACCGTTTCCTCGTATTCATCCTAACAACATCACTTCCGAGGCCGACTTTACTTCCTTATGTTCTCCTTTCTGTGAACAGGAAATTTGGGCGGCCCTCGCCGACAGTGACGGTGGCAAAGCCCCAGGCCCCGACGGCTTCACGTTCGAGTTTTACAAAAGATGCTGGAACTGGGTAAAAAATGACATTACACTCGCTTTTAACGAGTTTCATGGTTCTGGAGTCCTTTGCAAAGGTGTCACCCATTCATTCATATGTCTTACACCCAAAAAGGACTCGGTTGAGGACATTAAAGACCTCCGGCCTATATGTCTGTTGAGTAGCTTTAACAAGCTCGTAAGCAAAGTGCTCTCGCGCAGGCTGGCTCTTCTTCTCCCTTCCATCGTGTCGCAGCAGCAACAAGCCTCAGTTAGAGGAAGGCAGATTTCTGATGCAGGGCTCATTGCCAACGAGCTCGTTCATAGTAGAAGAAGAAGTAGAAGACCGGGGCTCATCTTTAAGCTTGACATTGAGAAGGCCTTTGACAACGTCAATTGGAGCTGTCTCTTCAAGGCTATGTCAAGAATCGGCTTTCCTCCCCAATGGATAAACTGGATTAAAGGTACTATGTGTTCTCCCCTATTCTCCATCCTCATTAACGGAGAGACTAAGGGCTTCTTTCCTGCAGAAAAGGGCCTGCGACAGGGGGACCCCCTTTCGTCAGGTTTGTTCACTCTGATCATGGATATTCTCTCTACTATGATCTCCAAATTAAAAGCTGAAGGGCTGGTTGAAGGCTTTCGAATGAACGAGGAGGAAGGCAGCGGCGAAGTTACTCACTTATTATTTGCCGACGACACCCTGTTGTTTTGTGATGCCTCCTATCAGCAAGTGCTCAACCTTCTTGCCACACTCGTCTGTTTCCAAGCAGTCACAGGTCTAAAGATCAACCTTGATAAATCGACCATGATCACCGTAGGAGATGTCCCAGAACCTAGATTTTACGCTGATCTCTTCGGCTGCAAGTGGAGCAGCGATGCTATCTCATACCTTGGACTTCCTCTTGGTGGCAAGTACTCTAGAGCTACCTTCTGGTCCCCTGTCGTAGATAGATACCGAAAAAAGCTAGAAGGATGGAAGGCTAGATACCTATCGAGTGGTGGCAGGCTCGTCCTAAACAAGGCCGTGCTAAACAGCCTACCGGTACATTACTTCTCTATCTTTAAGGCTCCTCGATCTGTGACAGAAGACATGGAAAGAATAATGAGGAACTTTATGTGGAGCGGGGCTGGTGATAACCGCAAGATCAGTCTGATCAAATGGGACATCTGTAAGGCCCCTAAATCTAATGGTGGACTTGGTTTGTTTGATCTGCAGTGTTTTAACAGGGCATTGTTAGCGAAATGGCTATGGAGATTCATCACGGAAAAAACCAGTTGGTGGCGCATGCTTATCGAGTGTAAATACAGACATAGATATTCAGCTTGGATCACTTGCTCTATTAGTAACGGTATTGGCAATTCTCCTTGGGCTGCTATCTCTAAAGAATACAAAAATTTCTGGAATTTTGCCTTCATTGATCCGGGAAATGGAAGAGGTGTCTCCTTCTGGTATGACTGTTGGGCACCTAGAACCGTACTTGCCGAGGCCTACCCCCGAGTTGCCGCTGCTGCAAGCGTCCCTGAAGCTCAAATCGCAGACATTCTTAACCATTCTGGTGAGTCATTTACTTGGAATATCGAACTTAACTTCAATTTGAGGGGTGGGGCTGAGAGAGAGAGGCAAAATTTACTACTACACATCAATTCTGTGGTGCTTCATAATGCTAACAATAGCCCATGCAGGCCTGTGTGGAGTCCAAAACCAGATTCTTCCTTCTCTGTTTCCTCTATGTACAAATGCCTAATTGCAGGTTCTTTCCCGGGTGTTCCTGAATTTCCTTGCGCCTCTGTTTGGAGAAGCGTCGTTCCTTCAAAAATTTGCTTCTTCATATGGACTTTGTTTCACAAAAGGATCCTGACTATTGACATCTTGAAAAGAAGAGGATGGCCTTTGGCAAACCGCTGTGAATTGTGTAAGAAGGAGGAGGAGACAGCAGACCACTTATTCATTGATTGCAGATTTTCCAAACTTGTGTGGAGCCTCATCAGGAGAAGATATTACCATCACATCCAGGTTCAAGGAGGCATCGTCGAAACCATTCGGAATTGGCCTTCATCTACACCGAGCAACATCGAAGGATGGTTCCGATTCTGCCTTCTACATTCCTTATGTTGGCAACTGTGGCTGGAACGCAATCGACGTATATTCAACGACAAAAGCCTCCCACCTAGTATTATTGCCCGAAGGATTTCCAAATCAATCATCGAGTGGGTGATGGCTCGCGGGAAGGCTGACAGAAATCAGTGTGCACTCTGGTTGGCCGCTCTGTGATGCAGACTTGTTGTCTTGCTGGTCTCGCCTTTGCTTGAACCTGTTTGCTGGGTTTCTTTGCTTTTAGCTTGAGACTTTCTGTTTTAGATGCCTTGTGGTTGTCCTGTTTCAACTGCTGTGCCTCTACTGGGTTCATCTTTTCTTTTATTCCTTTTTCCTTCCCCGCCTAGAGGGCACTCCTGGTGCTACTCCACTGTAACTCAAACCTTTTTCTTTCTTTAATATATTTCTCACCATTATCAAAAAAACAATAGGGTAGCCCATTTGGTGGCTAGAAAGGCCCTCTCTTTGTACCCGGCTATGAGTCGTGCTTTTGATTTCCGGACCTGACTGTATTCCAGGATGTAACTGTGTTTTTTGATCAATATATGATTATCTTTTGTAAAAAAAAAAAAAAGATAATTTGGGATTTGTTTCTCATGGTGGCTCACCGTAATATTATTGACCTACCCGTCCATAAGATAATGCAAGGATACTCTCCCGGCAAAACGGAAGCGGTTAACTCATTATTATATGGTAATTCCTCAAAAGCTTTCTCATCTTTCCAAGGAAGGGATAAGGGGAATAAATTATGGGGACATAACAATGTATAACGCTATACTTAGCATTTATGAAACGCTACTAAATTCCCCACCTCATCATAAATTTTAACAAGTTATTTATTTTGGTTTAACTCGATATTACAAGAAATTTGAGAGAACACACACTGAGGCTTTAAGCTTACTACTTTTGGGCTTTAGAAATTTCTCCTTTGGGCTTTTCTTTTATCTCGGCCCATATATTATAAAAGATACAGTGAAGAGTGAAGACTGATGCCGAGCATTTGTTACTCCTTCACATTCTCTTTATTCGTCGATTGTGATCTACTTCGTCTTCTCGCCAATCCTAATCCCCAAAGAGATTGAAGGTAGGTTCAATTGGTATCAAAGCCCATACTTGACGAAGCTGACGGCTGCCCAAATATTCGATCCATGGCTTCTTTCAATTTTGTGTTTATTTAGAAAGACAAAATTATCTTGAGAAGTACATAAGTGATAAGTTGTTGACGATTATTCATAAAATTTATTACTATTTGGTTTTTAAGTTATTAATTTTTGGATAAACCTTAAAATCATACTATTTTAATCTACAATTTCGATGTTACTTGAGTTTTCAATTGTACGTGAAATCAAGATTCTCACTTCATTACTTCCAGAATTCTCATAGTTTGAAGTATTGAACCATTTTGAGTAATAGTTTCTTGTCCTAGACTCTTTGTTCCAGACTTGAGAGGCACATGTGACATGGCTAAGGAAATAGTGCAAATTTTGACGAGTTCAATCCTTGAAAATTTGGCGAGTGCAAATTTTGTTCGCGTCAATATTTACACCCCCACATGAAGAAAAGGTGAAGGGAAAGGAAGAACAAAACAATGTAGAAAGCTAAAAACCTTGGGCAAAGATCAAGAACATCGGCAACCATTGGAGGCAAGCTCGTTTCCTCAACAGTCACGCTCGCCCACTCCTTCACTAAAATGTCTGATCCCCACCCGCGCCCATCCTGCAACTGTTCCCCTGTTTTCCTCTCAATGCGCAGCAACCGGATCCCGCTGCCACCGCCTCCTCTGCCCCAACTCATCACCAGAAATTCCCCATCTGATCCCGCTGCCGCTGCCACAACACGTAAACGATTCTGCCTCGCCAGCATCACCATCGCCGGAGGAGCAGCTACAGCCACCAGCATCGCTCCCATCCGCCGGCCGGCACCAACTCCGAAGATCAAAACATCTCCCGTGTTGGGGACCCTTTTGTAATAGTTTATTACCTAGGGTACCATTTGGTTATTTACCATTATGTTTGCTCCACGTTACTGGTAGAGAGGAGCTAGTATATTTGATGTACACGGCTGTAGCCGAAAACCCTAAGACACAGAGACATAGTGTTTGATTTCTCCGAGAGCTTGCTCTCCGTGGATTAGTCCCGTTCCAGTTGAACGGGGATACCACGTAAATCCTGGTGTTGTGCGTTTGTTTTCTTTCCGCTGCTATCGATTTTTACATGGTATCAGAGCTGTGATTAGATTCACGGTTCATCAATCATGAGTTCAGACGATGAGAAGTCGGGAAAGTCTTCTTCGAAGACAGTCAATGATTCGGCCGATTTCCAGATGGCGCTGCCGCCATATCTTCAACTATGCCGTTCGGACAGTCCGAACAATCTCTTCGTGGGCGAGCTGCTCACGGACAGCAACTATGGGGAATGGGTCACAGACATGACGGACTCCCTGATTGCCAAAGACAAGCTGTGTTTTGTCGACGGGTCATTGCCGGCTGCGGCAAACCCTAGTGAACGTGAGGCTCATCGACGCTGCAATGCGATGGTAAAAGGATGGTTAAAGACTTCTATGTCAAAGGAAGTGCGGAACAGCGTTCGTTTCGCGTCAACCGCACGAGAAATATGGGTTGATCTCCAATCGCGTTTCGGACAGGGCAGTGCTTCGCGGCTTTACGAGCTGAAGACCACGATCAGCTGCCTTCAACAAGAAAAGGCTTCGGTCTCTGCCTTTTACACACGCCTGCGCGGGCTTTGGGACGAGATAACGTCGCTTACGCCGTCGCTGGAGTGTACTTGCTCGGGCTGTCATTGTGACGTCAAGAAGCGCCAACGTGAAGTTCGAGAGGGGGAGATGCTCTTTGATTTTCTGATGGGTTTAGATGAAGTGTTCTCCACCGTCAAATCCCAAATTTTGGCGATGAAGCCCGTGCCTAGCTTGGCCGAGGCATATCAGCTCGTCACTAATGATGAGCAGCAGAGGCTCATTGCAAGTAATCGCCGCCCGCGTCCTGAGGCGGCAGTCTTCCAAGCTCAGGGGGAGAAGAAGGCAGACCGCTGGGTTCCTCCTCATGGTCGTGAAAGAGACAAAGACCGAGGGGATGTGGATGGGAGGACACGAGATGCTGATGGTAAGCCCCGTTGTACGTACTGTCAACGTACCGGGCATGTTCGGGAGACGTGTTATCGTCTCAATGGTTTCCCGCCCAAGAATAATGATGGGAAGGAGCAGCCTAAGCGCCGAGGTGAACGTGGAACGCGCTCTTCGTCACATGCAGCCCAGGTAGATGCTGCCGAGAGCCCGTTGGCTGGTCTTACAGCGAATCAATTCGCTCAGCTCAAAGCTCTCCTTGGCGCGGACCTCAAGCAGCAGGGATCCATTGAGCCATCCTCGAACATGGCAGGTACGTTTTCAGTTCCTTCGTCAAGTTGGGTAATAGATTCTGGTTGCAATGAACACATCGTTAACCAGAGTTCATTGTTGGATGTCGAGTTGGATTCTTCTCCCGCTCTGCAGGTTAAAATTCCCAATGGGACAGGCGTTAAGGTCCATAGTATTGGGACATCAAAGTTATCTAGTGACTTGTCTTTACGTCGCGTACTTCACGTACCGGATTTTCAGTGCAACTTGCTCTCTGTCAGCAGACTTACAGCTGATCTTCCAGTGGCACTTATATTCTTGAGCGATTTCTGTGTAATTCAGGACTTACCATCCAAGAGGCTGATTGGGATGGGTAAGCATGTTGATGGGCTCTACTATTTGCGGATTCTTGAAGCTGGTCATGCTATGGCGCATTCTGTACGTCGTTCCTTGGATCAGACGGAGTTGTGGCACGCACGGCTTGGACATCCGTCTATGGGAAAGCTCACTCATCTGGAGAAGGTTCTTGATTGCTCTTTTGTTCAGAATAAAGAGCCATGTCGATCTTGTTTACGTGCTAAGCAGACTCGCACTACTTTTGAGCTTAGTAGCATAAAGACAGCATCATGTTTTGAACTTATTCATGTTGACATTTGGGGTAGCTACAAAACTGCCTCTACTTCTGGAGCACACTATTTTTTGACGATAGTGGATGATTTTAGTCGTGCTGTTTGGGTATTCTTGCTGCGTTACAAGAGTGATGTGGGTCGACATTTGTTATATTTTTGTAACTTGGTGCGAAGTCAGTTTGGGCGGCAAGTACGCAGGATTCAAGCTGACAATGGTCCGGAATTCTCTAGTACTCAGCTCGCAGCTTATTATGAACAGGAAGGGATCGTTTTGCAGACCTCGTGCACGGACACTCCACAGCAGAATGGCGTCGTGGAGCGAAAGCATCGTCATCTCCTTGACACTGCTCGTGCCCTCCGATTCCATGCAAACTTGCCCATTAAATTCTGGGGTGAGTGCGTTCTGACAGCAGCGTATCTCATTAACCGCATGCCTTTGGTTCCCATTGGCAATCGGTCGCCCTTCCAGGTACTCTTTGAGAAGGAGCCTAAGTACGATCATCTTCGGAGCTTTGGCTGCCTGGTTTATGCTCGTGACAACCATCACAGTTTACACAAATTTGGCGCACGAGGGAGAGCTGGCGTGTTCGTGGGTTATCCTTCCACTCAGCGAGGATTTCGTGTATATGATCTTGAAACGCGGCGCATTTACACGTCTCGTGATGTTCAATTTCTTGAACATGTATACCCATATCGGGATGTTGCGAAAGGCACTACTCCGACGCCTGAGTCCGTGTCCATGCCTCCTCGTGGGACTCCTTTTGATTCGGTTGATTACAGGCCATCATTCTATGATGAGGATGATGATGAGCTAAGTTCTTCACCTATTCCTACTCCCCAGCAAGTTTTGGAACCCCCTACTGCTTCTTCCGAACCAGAAAGTTCCCCCGAAGATCCCATCTCGCCTTGTACGCCAGCGGCAGATGGGGATAGCTCTCCCAGTTCTTCTACCGCGCCATCTCCTTTGGGCAGCGGGTCTTTTTTGCTGTCACCTGCCGTGCCCGACACTACTCCGGTCGAGCCCCCTCCTCCTCGTCGAAGCGACCGAATTCGAGTCCCTTCCACGCGGCTGGCTGGTTTTGAGGTGGACCTTCCCGGAGCTGCTCATTCAGCCACGGTTCTTTACCCTCTGGATGATTATGTTACATATCATCGGTTATCCCAAGCACACCATGCCTTCGTCGCCGCGGTAAGTGCTGAGGATGAGCCATTGTTCTTTCATCAAGCCGTTCGGTACAAGCACTGGCGTGACGCCATGCAGCGAGAAATTGCTGCCCTTATTGCTAATGGTACGTGGTCTCTAGTTGATTTGCCTCCCGGTAAGAAGGTGATCCTGTGCAAATGGGTCTATAAGATAAAGTTCAACCCTGATGGTACTGTTGAACGGTACAAGGCTCGACTTGTTGCGAAGGGATTCACGCAGGTTGAGGGGATCGATTATCACGACACATTTGCACCGGTTGCGAAGCTGGTTACTGTTCGTTGTTTACTGGCGGTTGCTGTTGCTCGTGGTTGGCATGTCCACCAGCTTGACGTAAACAACGCTTTTCTCCATGGAGATTTAGACGAGGAAATTTATATGGCTCTCCCGCAAGGCTATGGTGGCCCTGGTGAGACGCGGGTGTGCAGGCTTCACAAGTCCATCTACGGGCTGCGTCAGGCTTCTCGTAGCTGGTACCAGAAGTTCACTCAGGCTCTTTTGGCTTTTGACTTTGTTCAAAGTCGTGCGGATCACGCCTTGTTTACCTACCAGCAGGGTTCTAGCTTTGTGGTTGCCCTCATTTATGTCGACGACGTGATTTTGGCTGGCAACGACATAGACTTCATTGGTCGTGTCAAGACATATCTTCATGATCGGTTTACCATCAAGGATCTTGGCCCTCTCAAGTATTTTCTTGGGATTGAGGTGGCTCGCTCTCCGCGCGGTATGGTCCTTAACCAGCGCAAGTACGTTTTGGATATTTTGGCAGATGCAGGTCTTGAGGGTGCCAAGCCTGTTCTCACTCCCATCGAGCAGCAGCATCACATTGGCCGCACAGATTCTCCCCTGGCTTCTGATCCTAGTGCTTATCGCCGTCTGGTGGGACGGCTTCTTTATCTTACGGTCACGCGACCGGATATCGCTTATGCTGTCAATGTCCTCAGTCAGGCCATGCAGGCTCCTACCAAAGCACACGAGGATGCGGCCATTCGTGTCCTTCGGTACCTCAAGTCTGCTCCTGGCCGTGGCATATTTCTTTCGGCCTCAGCTCCCCTTACTTTGACTGCCTTTTGTGACGCGGACTGGGGTGGTTGTCCGTTGACACGACGCTCCACGACTGGCTATTTCATCACCCTTGGTGGCTCTCCTGTTTCTTGGCGCACAAAGAAGCAGACAGTTGTGGCTCGCTCTTCAGCTGAAGCCGAGTATCGCTCCATGGCAAGTACAGTCAGTGAAGTCCTCTGGCTTCGTTGGCTTCTCCGCGACCTTGGTGTCGCCCTCACCTCTCCTACTCCACTGCATTGTGATAATCAAGCAGCACTTCACATTGCTGCTAACCCGGTTTTCCACGAGCGTACTAAACACGTGGAGATGGACTGTTATTTCGTGCGTGAGCGTGTCCAGTCTGGCGACATTGCTCCCGCGAAGATTGCTACTGCCGATCAGCCTGCTGATTTGTTTACGAAGGGTTTGAGTGTTGCTCAGTTTCATCATCTCTTCGTCAAGCTCGGACTTCTCGATATTCACTCCTTCGCTTGAGGGGGAGTGTTGGGGACCCTTTTGTAATAGTTTATTACCTAGGGTACCATTTGGTTATTTACCATTATGTTTGCTCCACGTTACTGGTAGAGAGGAGCTAGTATATTTGATGTACACGGCTGTAGCCGAAAACCCTAAGACACAGAGACATAGTGTTTGATTTCTCCGAGAGCTTGCTCTCCGTGGATTAGTCCCGTTCCAGTTGAACGGGGATATTTGATGTACACGGCTGTAGCCGAAAACCCTAAGACACAGAGACATAGTGTTTGATTTCTCCGAGAGCTTGCTCTCCGTGGATTAGTCCCGTTCCAGTTGAACGGGGATACCACGTAAATCCTGGTGTTGTGCGTTTGTTTTCTTTCCGCTGCTATCGATTTTTACATCCCGTATCGAACAAGCAAAAGAAGCTCCCTTCCCTGTACCCGATCCCTTCGCAAAATCGGCGGTCCCCTTTCCCTCCGCAAGTGTATTCGCTCCACCGCAGCTCGCCGCGCCGGAACGTGCTGAAGCTGCAGCTGTCCCGCACGAGGAAGATGGTCCAGTCGGGATCGGTCGGTGGGGCGGAGAAGGCAGCTTTTGACGGTGGCTGTGAAACAGAGTGAGGCAGAGCAGGAAGCCGAACGAAGCTAGTAGGCCAGTGCAAGAACGGATTGAAAAGCCCCATGATTCCAACACCACTAATTGACAGAAGCAACCATCCGCTCCCAGGCCAGCTATATCGAATACATGCGCAGCTCAATTCTTCGCGGATCTTGCTGGGGATTTCCGCCGACATTGGCGGCTTCAGGGGAGCCCGAGAAGCAGGGGATTTCTCGGCGTGGCGATGAGGTATTTGACGCCAGTTTTTACATACTGATCTGAATTGCAAGCGGCCAGCTCCTGGGTTCGGAGGCAACTTTTCGAATATGGAGCTCAAGATATCCGGACACAAATCTCCCCATGGCGATCCAACTTCAACCTGCTGCCTCCTTCCCGCCCCTACTCTGCTACGCAGCATGATGTTTTCTTACACTAGTGTCCGTTGTGCATAAGCTACATCACAGAATCAAAGTCATTCCATTGCTATGTGATCAGTATGTAGATGAAATTCATAACACTTTCCAACGTACTACATAGACAAAACCAACCTTGTCATCAAGGTCCTAACCATATGGACAAACATAACAACATTACGGTTTTGTTGTTGTGGTTGCAGTGCGATTGTGACAATAGAGGTACAACGACAACACCCGTTCTTGTCTGAATGGGAACTAATAGTTATTAGATAAATAACTTTTTTTAATTTAATTGTGATAAAATTTCAAATTAGAGAATATGTGGAATAGGAATTTTCGAAGTGTATTAATGTTGACTAAGCGATAATATGACCGATTAAAGATTTGTCAATAATATCAACCATCAAATATAACTGTCAAACACTCTCAATGGAATACGAGAAGATCGGAACAGAGTGGGAAGAGAAATAGAGAGGAAGAAAGGGTGGCGTGGTTTGGCTTTAGTCGGTGCTAGAGCTGCTCAACCTTACACCCACCACAACAACAAGAAGAAATGTAGTCTAAATCTGCATAGTCAAAAGATGATTACTATAAAGTAAAGCTCAATTGGGTTTTACGTACGTTTGGAAAAACATTCTCTAGATATCTCTGCGGTGACTCCAGTCCTACCAAATTTCCAAACACAAAACCCAGGGGTTTCAAAGGAGATAGAGCGGGGGGAAAACACCCCAATTATAAGAAGCTAGCAAGCTTAAAAGCAAGTAACTGATGGCGGCACCAACTGCAACTTCAATTTAATGGAACCCATAGAAAGAGGAAACTAACCGATTCTTCAAAACCTCTGAAATTCTTGGTCGCCGGCTACTCCTCACTTTCAGGCGCCCTGGCTATGGCTCTATATGATCTCTTCTCTCAAGAACAGGAAATGGAGTATGGAGGAATCAAGATACATAGCAGTGAAGATGTCTTGGTAAAGAAAAAGGAAACAAAAAAAATACTAAAAACTAAAGGAAGGACAGAGGTGTTAGAGAGTGGTATAAGATCCACGATTGAACCTCTCCCAACAACTCGAGTTATTGGGAGCAACTGATTCTTGACAAGAGGAAGGACAAAGCCATTGCTTCTTTTTCTTCTTCTTCAAAGTTGGATATCATTGCCAAATTGGAAATGTGTATGAGGTGCAGAATCAGTTTGGACTTTGGATTTGGAGTCTGGCCAGCTAATCAACCATATTAGGAAATAACTCGTTTTCTATCTTGTATAGTCCAAATATGGAAAATACCATCATGCCCTTCAAATTCTCTTCTCTTCAGTTTCTCAAAGTATATTTCTAAATTGTAATAATATGTTTCATTTTCAAGCCTTGTGGATCTATGAACTATATATAATTTCCTTACACGTTCCATAAAAGAAGAATCAATCTATTAATTTGAAGTTTGCAACTATACTTTGTCGTCGGACTAACTATCAATATTAAGGGCAATGAAAGTCCGAAAACTAAAAAGAACATAGAAATAAAAGATGTGGAATATTTGGTCGCTAAACTTAAAATTAATTTATAAGAACGGCTGTAAAATGACTACAAAATCTACCAAATACAAAATATTGAAGGAAATCAAAATAAAAAGACTCTTTTTTATTTTAATAATAATATTTTCTGATTTATTTTAATTATTAAGTAATATAAATGAAAGAAACTATCATTCTAGAACAAGATAACAGTAAGTATAATATTTTGTTTTTAACTGGTTAATAATTATCAGCACTATCAAACTGCTAGGAAAAAAAAACAAAGAAGGCTAAGCTACCGACAAAAGCAATGGTGAGAAGAGTAGGTTTGGACAGAAGTGATAAATTGACAGGAGCTCACTTTGTGACCATATAATATGGGTGATATCATTATCATATCTATCCTCACTCACCACCAGGACCGGTCGCTGCCTTTAATTTGTGGGCACGTGTTTGTTAGCAGCGTCACTTTATTTGCTAATCTTTCTTATTAATTACTTGCTTATGAATCTGTATGAGTTTTACGGTGTGCTTTTCTAGTTAGGTTTCGTAATTTTTTTTAATGATATTTGATGGTGTGCATTAGGAGATTTGTAATATGCTTTAACCGATCGTTTGGTATCAAATGAATTGAAAATTCATTTTACTGTAAAATGAATTACCATGTACAGACCGTTTGGTACCAAATGAATCGAGAATTCATTTCATTGTAAAATGAATTACCGTGTAGAATTCATTGTCAAATGAAATCTTATGTTTGGTATGTTATATTCAAATCATTGAAATGTCGTGTAGAATTCATTGTCAAATGAATTTATGTGTTTGGTATGCAATATGTATAAGTAATTTAGTTAATAAAAGAGGATAATCATGTCATTCTATTATAATTAGTAAATACTTGTGGAATTCATTTAGAAATTCTATCTCAATTCCTCGGAATTGCTATAACTAGTTCCAATTTCGTAGAATTTAAAATTTAGAATTGAAAATGAATTCTTTTTAATACCAAACACAAAAATATTTTATTTCAAAAAGAATTCCTCAAAACTTATGGAATTCATTTATACCAAACGGTATGGTAGAATTCATTATCAAATGAAATCTTTCGTTTGCTAAGTGATATTCAAATCTTTAGAAATAAAATGCATTGTCGTGTAGAATTCATTGTCAAATGAATTTATGTGTTTGGTATGTCATATGTATAAGTAATTTAGATAACAAATGAGGATAATTATATCATTCTATTATACTTAATTAGTACTTATGCAATTCATTTTGAAATTTCATCTCTATTCCCCGGAATTGCTATAACTAGTTAAAATTTCATAGAATTCAAAATTTGGAATTCAAAATGAATTCTTTTAAATACCAAACACAAAAATGTTTAATTTCAAATGAATTCCTCAAAACATATAGAATTTATTTATACCAAATTGTATGTAAGACCATCTCCAACAACTAAGCCAAAATGTCAAAAATGCTAAAATACCACCTCCAAAAACAATTGAGAAAATTTAAAAAGCCAAAAATACCAAAAATTCTACCAAATACCCACTAGAAAAAGACATGAAATGTCAGATTCTCTCACTTGATTAAAAAATTCCGTTTCAGTCCCTAAATTAAATTTCAACGACTCTTTTAACACCCAACAACTTTTTCATCATTAATTATATTATATTTGAACATGTGAAGTCTCTATGGTTAATTTAAACAAATTATTGTGATTTCGTCATTAATGATATTATATTTAATGATATTTTTTATGTTGAAATAAAAAAAATATATATGGAAGCATTCGTCTTAATTAATTAGTGCCACCTATATAAAAATAATCTACAAAATATCTAATTAAAATAATGAAATTGACACTAAATTAGATTAACACAAAAAGAGAAAATTTGGCATTTTGGCATTGCTTGTTAGAGCAAAAACCACTTTTGGAGTGCCAAACTGCCAAAAACATTTGGCATTTTAGCATTTTCTCAATTCCTTGTTGGAGATGGTCTAAGAGTTCTGTAATGTGAACTAGTAAAAAAATTTGTGTTACATTTCATGAGAAATGTGGTTCGTTTTATTAGAAATGTGGTTTCCTTAGTAAGATTAATGTTCTACTCTCTGGGTGTGTTTGTAGTGCTCTGTGCGATTGTGTTGTGTGCAGCAAGAGGTTTGTGGGTGCTTCATAATATTATGGTCTTCAATAGGATGGCGACAGGTCTGGTTGGAGTAGGATAGTGCATATCTATTATTCTATCTAAATTAGTTTGAATTTTATTCTTACTCACAAAAGAATCGGATAAAATATCAAAATCATACCCATATACAATCGGGTTTCGGATATTCACGGTTATCTGTGGATAATAATCTCTTTTTGTAACTTCAACCAACATGTTAACAATTTCACATATACTGACCGTATATTAGTGAAAATTACCTGAATAAATTACTATAACCAAGAACGTTAGTTAAAAGCAATACAATTTATAATAAATATAAAATATGTTGAAAAAATAATGATCATTTAAAAAAATATAGATATGCATGCGTATAATCAGGAGGGTTCGGATCGAATAGTGATAAAACCATGCACATCTATCACTCACAATATTCGAGTTCGAATTTTACCCATACCCATTAAAAATCCTTCGAATGTGAGTTTTACTCACCCGATTATATTGGATACGGGCGGGTATCCCTGAGTACAATTATTTTTACCATCCCTAGTTTTGAATATGAGAAAGTGGTGTGGTTTTTGACAAATATGGTTTGCTTTCTGTTGGTTAGCTTTGTGGGATTTGTGGTTAGTTTTATTGTATTCCATGTATGCTTTCTGACATTTGTGGTGTACTTTGAGAGAGCTTGCCATCAATTAAAGCTCTCATTCACATTAGACCAACTATTAATCATATTTGTCTCAAAGTTGTCAGTCAAATCTAATAATAACCAAGCTTTACATTTTCGAATAAAGATCAAACTTTTCCAAATGTGAATAACATCTAACTTATTAATCAATGAGTCTACTTCCTCGAATGTGTATCAACCGTTGTTCATCTAATGTATTAGTTTCAAGTCAGAATTTAAATTTATTACACAAAAAATCAGATTAATTGTGCTAATCAAAATAATATCCACTTTGATATATTTTGAAACAAAAATTGAGATATATATTACTAGTCTATATCGTGATGGTAATGTTTGGGAGTACATCAGATTGTATCATGGTGGTATGAAAGTGGACAATATTGGTATGAATATATCATAGTGTAAAATAATTGTATACGTGATAGTAGCAATATACTAATCACATACTCTCTCTTCTTTCTCTCTCTTCCCATTCTCTTTGAGCTAGGGTTTGATCGATCGCTATGGCGTCCTCAACGACGGTGTTTAGGCCGGCTCGTGATCTTGTAGTGTTTTTATAGTTTGGGGAGGTGATTGTATTTTACCCCTAAACTATTCCGTTTTGGGTTTTGTGTGTTGCAACCCTACGGCTGTAGTAGGGCATATATATGTGCTCTTTATTTTGTTGCTGGACAGGCTTGACGAAAGCAGCATCAGTGATTAATAAAGAAAACTGAAAGCTCCTTATGGAGGTTTTCGTGGAGTAGTCTCGTTCTTTACAAGAACGGGGAAACCCCGTAAACTTGTGTGTCTTTTCTTTTGCGCTTTAGTTTGTTTTTCATGGTATCAGAGCTGAACTAAAGATTCAGAAAGTTTTTTTGAACGATGGTTGATAAGTCAGAGAAGGAGACGACTAATGGTACTAGCGGAGGTTCCACCGATGGAGGATCCGGTGATGGTCACCGCTACAAGGTATACCCAGTCTCGTCTCCTTTCGATCGGCATTCTTCTGATAGCCCTAACTAGATGTTCGTTGAAGAAGTGTTAACCGACGTGAACTATGGCGAATGGGTCGTTGATATTACTGAAGTCCTGATAGCAAAAAATTAATTGGGGTTTGTGAATGGAATGGTCACAAGGCCTAACGAAGGGGATGATCTTGATGCTTGGATAAGGTGTAATGCTCTTGTTAAGGGTTGGTTGAAGACGGCCATGAGCAAGGAGATCAGGATCAGCGTGTGCTATGCCAGAACTGCTCGGGAAATATGGCTCGATTTATAGCAGAGGTTCACCCATGGTTCGGCTCCTAGGGCATATGAGCTACGTCGTGCGATAGGGCTTTTGAGGCAAGAAAAGTTATCGATCTCAGGATTTTATACGAAGCTCAAGAGTTTATGGGAAGAGATGAGCTCAGTCAGTCCTGATCCTCAATGTGAATGTGGAAAGTGCACTTGCAACTTGGAGGTTCGTATGCAGGAGAAGCAGGAGAAGAATCAATTGTTTGATTTTCTCTTGGGGCTCGATGAAGCCTATTCTATGGTACAGTCAATGGTGTTGAGCACCAACCCTATTCCCAGCTTAAGTGGGGCCTAACGTACTGTTTCCATGGAGGAGCAA